GGGAAGGGAAGGGAAGGAGAGAAGAGAAGAGAAGAGAAGAGAAGAGAAGAGAAGAGAAGAGAAGAGAAGAGAAGAGAGGAGAAGATCAGTCAATCATGGATGGGAACCTTCAAAACCACAAGACAAAATAATCTTTCCATGCATGTGAGTGTGTGCCTATCTGTGTGGTATGTATGTAAGATTTCTGTGCATGTCAGGAACTATGTATGCCCATACGTGCATATAGATGTCAGAGGAGGGCTTTGGATGTCTGATTCTATCACCCTCTACCTTGTTGTTTGGAGAGAGTCTCTCACTAGACCTGGAACTAAGCTGGCAGCAGTCCTCCTGTCACAACCCCATGGTTCTGTGGTTACATGCACATTCCCACAGATGACCATGCCTAACTTTTTATGTGGGTTCTAAAGATTTAAACTCGGGTCTACATGCTTATACAGCAAGTGTGCCTATCCATGGAGCCATGTCCCTATGCATATATGCATGTGTGTGTACACATGTGGGCATGCATGTATGTGTGCATGTGGGTGCATGCATATGTGTAGATATGTGTGTATATGTTAGCGTGTTTGTATATATGTATTATGCGTGTATGTGTATATACATGTGTGTGTGAATGTGTGTATGCGTGTACATGGTTGTGTATGTGTGTGGGTATGTGTATGTAATATGTGTATGTGTGTGTGTATATTGTGTGTGTGTATGTATGTGTGTGCATGTATATGTGTGTGCATGGTTGTGTATGGGTATGGGTATGTGTATGTGTATGTCTGCATGTGTATGTGTATGTATGTGCGTGTGAAGACAGTGTCTCCCTGTGTTGATTAGACTTGTCCTCAGCTTGTCCTCATCCTGCCTCAGCTTCCTGGGTGCTGTGAGTGCCAGCTTATGCCATGGTGTAGACTCCACTTTTTCTTTTGATGTTGATTCTCTTGAGTGTTAATTATAGCAAGGCAAGTTTACTAATGCACCCTGTGTCTACTGTACCAGACAATCTATAACAAGGGGGATTCCTAAAAAGGGACCCTCTCCCACTTTCCTTTAAGTGTGTGACGCTCTAGTAGGTCTACCATGCTTCAAGGTAGACCCTACATCCAAGGGTTTTGGGGCAGCACAAACTGGATTTGACGGGTTCAAAACAAAACGAACAGGGATGCTGGTGGGTAAAGATGTAAGGGGTGGATCTGGGAAGAGCAGGAGTGGTTAGAACTAAAATACATCCTATAAAGTTCTCAAGTAATTAATTAAAATATTTATGTTTTCAAGGAGGACTTCCCTTGTGAAAGCCCACTTTTGAGCAGTTCTTAAGAATGTTACCATGTGTTCCTTCTGCATGTTATACTGTCTACTCAAGGAAAGTAAAAGGAGGGGAGAGAGTGAAGTGGGCAGCTACCAACCTCGGATACATGCCACCTTGGCTCAGTGGGGTTCGAAGACAGGTGAATTTCAGCCAAAGTACCTCTCCAAATATTTGCTTTCGGTAACCGAAGTTGAGATGATTATCGATGCCATGAAAAACAAGATCAAAGGAAAGTCACTGTGAGTCCCTAATGTGGCAGCTCAGCAGCCCGGCTCTTGGCATAACCCCGACAGAGCATAGCCCTGCTCAGCAGCGGTTCCGGATGAGTCTCTTGTGAAATCGCCTGTGAGACAGCAATGCAGCCATTTCAGAACCTCAGAACCAGGAAGCCATTCCCTGGAAGAACAGAGGGAGTCTCAGTGTGGTTGCCCCAGATGAGGGGAGAGAAGTTTCCAATTTCCAAAGCACTGTCGCCCTGCCCCACCCTCTGCATCTCTCTGTGGGAGCCACGACCCAGCCCACACCCCACAGCCAGTGCCTCAGCACAGACAGTCCTTGTGTTCGGTCTTAAAAGACCTCAAACGTTCACATGGTCTTCAGATGGCACACGCTCTCAAAGAGAATATCGGGAGCCTAAGGCCTCCTCCTGCTCTTCCCTTCCCCTCCCCTCCTCCTCCCTGTCCCCCTCCCTTCCTCATTTCTCTTCCTCTATTTTCTTCTCTTTGTTCCACCACCACAGTTCCAGAGGTAGCAGAGCGACCAGCGGACCACTGGCACTTCCAATAATGTGCGCTAAAATAAATCCCATCGTTTAGGTGGTCATCATCTTAGGTGATAGCTATGGGCACATAAAGCTCACTAATACCCACTGTGCACAGTCTACCTTGCCACTCCCCATCACAAGGAATCCCTAACCGAGTCTGGAGGACACTGACATCTGATGCCACCCCATGGTTCCGTCTGTGTGGGACTAAGTACGCTTTAATGCATATCTCTGCTCAAGGGTATGTCATGGCAGAAGGTTCACTTTGCTCTGCAGAGCTCCACGTTTAAGCTCCCAGAGAGCTCTGCTTTCCCAGATTTTACAGAAGTCACTCTAGGTGATGGCGCCATAGACTGGGAGCGTTAGAGCCTCAATGTTAAAATCCTCAATGAAATTTTCCTAATACAAAAATATGAAAATGATGCCTGAAAGTTATTTTACTTAAAATATCAGTATATTCTCAAAGGACAGGAACACTAGCAACTACTTATTATACCTAGTATACTGGATATACTCAGCTTCACAGTTCATTAATGATGAAATTCTCATCCTGAGGACATCCCTAAACCCTGTCATGGTGACTAGTTAATGAGGTTGAAAATTTGGACCAGTCAAGCCTAGACCTGCAGAAGGTTTTAACTGTGTGGGAGGCTAAAGCCAGGGAGAAGCACCACTACTCAGGGGTGAGATGGGGCAAGAGCTGTTTCAAAGACACATTCTTATCGGAAATAAAACTATGGAAATGCAGTTAACTTTAAAAATGTTTCATGCTGGATAGGACAGAACATTAAATGGCAGGTGGATCCCCATTTACCACAGCCTACCAGCTTTCAAAATGCATGCTGACATTACCAATGTGAATTTTCATGACTCATCAAGGGTTTTTGTTGTTGTTGTTTTGTTTTGTTTTTTACAGGTCCTTTATTCACTAAGATTTATTTCTTACCCCCTAAATAGAAGTTCATTCTGTTTTTACAGTTGGTTATGGGCACATGGCAGGACAGTGAAAATCTTCAGTGTGGCCCCAGCTGATCCAGCCCACACCCTGCCGTCTTCCATGTCTCAGACAGTCGCTAGCTCGGGTCCTTTTCACTGTGTAAACTGCTAGTTCGGCTCTCGCTGTTTCAACATCCCCAGGTGTCTTACAGAAGCTCATCTAATGTTTGTGAGCGCATGGGATGGGCCTATGGAAAGACTAGTTTGTGGTAGGAGCTATATCAAGAGGGCCAGAGCAACCCAGCAGTTAAAACAAAACACAACACAACAACAACAACAAACTCCTATGCCTAACGTCAGCAATGCCCTGATTCTATCCCAAGCATGACAAAAGAAAATGACTGTCGCCCAGGCCTGGCTCACAGACTTGCAGCTATGAGCTCAGGTCTGTGGGCAAACAGTACAGGTCAAAGAAGTAGCCTTCGAATGAAACCCCACAGGACAAGGTGACACTCTGATTGGTTGATGACAACCTAAGCATGTGCTTGAAGCAGGCTAACACTGTACCTCCCCTCAGAACAACTATTCTGTGAAGAGGTCTCTCTCATTCCCAGGAGTGAACCCCAAATTCCCCCAGATCCCTGAGAGTGCAGCTAGGACCAAGCTGTGTGTGTGACGAAGGCCTGGCACAGTGAAAGGAAAGATTAATGTGCAAACTAGACCTAGTAAGAAAGAAGGCCAATCATACAACAGACTGATTATAGGAACGCGTCATAGCAAATGCTATTAAAACCTTATGAAGTGCTTCTTTCTGGAAATTTCTCTGTGATTTTCCCAGAGCATGGTTGTCCAAAGGACACTGAGGCAGTGGGAAGCGAGGCCCTGGATCAGGAAGGGGTGTGGCCTATATTTGATACTTCAGGTTCAGTTTGTAACTGACGAATAAGGTCTCAACCGAGGGTTTCCAGGTTCTTGGCATCTTATTCGAGTGAAATAAGTTCACGAATAGTGCAAAATAGAAAAGAAAAAAAAAGAAAAAGAAAAACTTTATTTCAAAAGTAAACAGTAGCGAAGATGAGAAAGGAGCCATTGCGAGTGGTAGCAGACCTCCAGGCTGAGAGTACTCAAGGGCCCCGATTTGTGTTCAGGCTTCTTTATATGGGATTAAAGAGAGAGAGAGAAGTTTGGTTGCTACAGGGCACCGTGTGGGTGGTTCTCATCCTTTGATTGATAGGTTTGGATCATCCGTGTAAGTAAGCCTTTGCTCTTTGCAGGTCTTCTCCAATCATGCATCTGATTCTAGTCATATCAATCCCAACTATGCATAGGCATAAGGTGGTTATAGGGGATTCTCCCTCAAAGTTCACTCTGGGAACACAGTGTGTCTTATTGCACATGCACCCAAATCCAGTCGAAGTCAAATTGGCCTCCTGCCTCCCATACCCAGATATGATCTGAAATACATTTGAATAGAAATAGAAACTATCTATGAAAAGGGAGTTTTTGGCAGTTGGTTAAAAAGATTTACCCCACTGTTCTAAGGGGGATGTACGTGCAACCCAGTGAAGACGGGGTCCTGGGATGCTAAGTGTACTGTCAGGGGGATGTCTGTGCAGCCCAGTGAAGACGGGGTCCTGGGATGCTAAGTGTACTGTCAGGGGGATGTCTGTGCAGCCTGTTGCTAAGTGTACTGTCAGAAGT